TTTTAATTAATATTTTAAAAAATTAATTATTAGATTAAAAGTTTTATTCATATAAACTATGCATGTTAATTTTTAAATTATTCTAGTAAGCTTAATTATTTCATTAATTATAAAAAATTTAATACGGTTAAATATACACCTATAGATAGAATTTTTTTTATCAAAGAGTTATAAGTATTAAATGAATATGAAAATTAGTATATATGATTTATATAAATAGGGCAGTGCTATAAAGACAATTTTTTTATATTATATTTTTATATAACTTTCATGTGTTATTAAATAAGTTGATGTATTAAATGAGTAAATGCATTTAATATCACGAATCCTACATGAATTAAAAAAATTAATTATTTAAATGATATGTCAGGTTATATCAAAAGGTGATATAAAAAATTATTCGAAAATCATTTCCAATATAAATAATACTTTCAATCTAATTATTAATTTTTAAAAATATTAATCAAAATATAAGTTTTTAAACATGTCCTTCAAAAACAGATTTTAAAAGATGATCTGTCTAACACTGGTCTCTTATAATTATACATCAAATGATTTTTCGAGCACATGTATTAATATTTATTTTCATTTTTTTTATTATATGATGAGTTTAATTTTTATATGTATTTATCTACTTTTTTATATTATAATTTAATTTTATGAGCATTTTATAATTTAATCTCACCTAAATTTATATTAATTTCATTGTTTTACAGGTGAAGATTAAATAATAAATTTAAAATGAATTAATTTTTCAACCAATGATAGTTTACACGTATTATAGTAATTCAGCTATAACCTTTTCTTTAGATATCGAATTGAGATGATTCTTAATACATTAAAAAATTAAAAAATAAAGTTACAATTTATCCTTTACAAGCTTAACCCAGTTAATCAATTTCAAGACAGAATTCCAGTTGGAATGCGCGGCTACGACATAGAAGAAGGGTGGGCAAATTGCGAGAAAAAAAAAAAAAAGAAAGGCTGTGTTTTCAAGTTGTGGGCTGGTAGCATACCAGGCCCAAAAGGTTCAAAAAGCCCTAGTAAAACATGGGCCAGGAAGAAAAAGGAAACAATTAGGAGAATATATATGTATGCATCTCCGCGCATAAAAGGTCGGTCATCGCCCCAAGATTGAGCCGCCTCTGTTTTTCTTCTCTTCTCCGCCAGCGTTGCTTGGGAAATCTGCACAGCAACACGCCATTGAGTAGAAGTTGCAGTTCGGTTATGCTCTTCATTGGGACTGGTTTTGTTCATTTTTAATTTGATTTTTACAATAATTCTTTGTTGGTTTTTCTTAATTATAACTTTTCAAAACTTAATTTATAAGTAACTAAATTTCTTGAACTACGGTTGCATGGATTTTAATTTTTGGATTATGTGACTATTTTTTAGTTTAATTCAAAATTTATTAGTTAATCATATGATAAGTTTATGTTATTGAACTTAATACATTAAAAGCCTAATCACATGTATGAACTTGAGAAGTAAATTAGATCAATAATAATATAAATAAATTGTGTCTCAGACTATGAGACCGAGAAATAATTAGTTCACATGTGGTAGTGGAGGGAGGAAGAGAAGAGAGTTAGGAGCTCCCCTTTCCTAAGTCAAAAGATTTCATAGAATTTAATGCTTATTAATTTGTTTTAAATTACATAAAGATATGATTAATTTAATAAGCAAGTGAAAAATTAACTTGACTTGAGAAAGTTGGTGGAAAATCCGTCATCCAGGAAACTTGAATTAGATTAATTAAATAGTTGTATAATTCAAAATTAAATAAAATTTAAACCATAGTTCCTTCTCATTCATAGTTTCTTTTACTTAGAAAATTTCTTTAGTTTAAGTAATTTAACTTTATTCCATTAATTAGTTATTTCAGCTTAGATTAAATTAATATCATCTTGATAGTGTAAAATAGTCATGTGTATTTGGTGCATCAATGATGATTCCTTGTTTTTTCTTTCTCCTATCTCTTCCAATATTTGATATCTTTATTTGTTATCATACATTTTGATTATTCCTTGATTTATATAAATAATATTTTCAATTTAATGATTGATTTTTAAAAATATTAATAAAAAAGTGAGTTTTTAAACATATCCTTAAAAAAAAAAAATTTAAAAGACGATCTGTCTTACAGTGGCCTCTCACAATTATACATCTGATGATTTTTCTAGCGCATATATTAATATTTATTTTCATCTGTTTTTGTATCATACGTCTTGATGATTCCTTGTTTTTTCTTTCTTCAATCTCTTTCAATATTCGATATCTTTATTTGTTACCATACATCTTGATCATTCCTTGTTCTTTTCTTTCTCCAATCTCTTCTAATATTCAATATCTTTATTTGTTATCATACATCTTAATTATTCTTTGTTCT